AGGGGAGGAAGCCGACTGCCAGCACCATGGCCACACCTCTGCTATCCAGAAAAAAAGGCCCTGGGATCCCTGGCACGGTGATGTTGGGGTCAGAAAGTGTGCCGTTTGGTGGTTCCACCTGGATGACTTCCAGCCAGGTCCTCAGGGAGTCATTTCCAGCAACATTGCTGACCACACAGACATAGGCCCCTCTGTCCCGTAGCTGCACTGAGCGGATCTCCAGTGTCCCATCCTCTAGGACCCTTACTCTCCCAGCCCTGCCCAGCCAAGCCCCATGAGGCCTCATCCAGGAGATGGTGGGGGCTGGGTCTCCATCTCCAGAGCAGGAGAAAACTGCATGCCCGCCCTCCTCTGCAATGACCCATCGAGGCCCCGACTTTCGGATCAGGGCTGGTGTGCAGGTGAAGTGCCCCGGAGGCAGTATGTCCGAAAACTCCCTCAGGCTCTTCCCCTGGACATGCTGGGGGCCAGCACAGGCAGGGGGGGAAGTGCCAAAGTCCAGGCGGCGGCGGAGCCGGAGCAGCCAAAGGAGGCGGCAGTCACAGGTTAGGGGGTTGCCAGATAGCCTCAGGGTGACCAGTTTGTCTGGGGAAGGGAAGGCTGTTTCCTCTAGTGTCTGAAGGGCGTTATCTGCCACATCCAGGAGGTGGAAGGCAGTCAAGCCATGGAAGGCATGGGCAGCAATGGAGGTGAGGCATGCCCCTGACAGGCGTAGCTCCTGGAGCCGCACCAGGGGGCTGAGCCTTCGGGCTGGGATGGCTGAGATGGGATTCTGAGACAGATCCAGGACCCTGAGAAAGCTCAGGTGGTGTAGTGCTTGGAAGGGCACCGAGCTCAGATTGCAGCGGGTGATGGCCAGGCTGCTGAGATTAAGCCCAACGAGGCTCCCAGGGTCCAGAGCCTCCAGAGATGGCCAGTGGTGGATCTCCAGCTCCTTGAGCTGCCCCAGCCCCCGCAGGGCCCCAGCTGGCAGCCTCCCAATATCCAATTCTCGAAGCCTTAGGGCCACTAGTGCTGGGAGACGGGCGAGGGCTAGGCCAGGCACTGTGCTGAGGTTACAGCGCTCCAGGGTGAGGGTGCTCAGCTTGGCCAGCCCTGCAAAGGCCCCCGGAGCCACAAATACCAGGTGGTTGTCCCCAACCTCCAGCTTCTGGAGGCTGCCTAGCTCCCCAAAAGCTCCATCTAGGAAGAGGACAATTTGGTTGAGGCGGAGGTCCAGCAGGGTCAGGGCAGAGAGGCCTGAGAAGACCCCGGGCCCCATGATTCTGAGCCGATTGCCCTGCAGCCTCAGGGTGAGTAGGCTTTGTAGGCCATGGAAGGCCCCGGGCTCAAGGGTGGAGAGCTGGTTGTAGCTGAGGTCCAATTCCTGGAGCAGGCTCAGGCGGGAAAGCATTCCCCGCTGGAGTCCCCACAGGCGATTCCCGCTCAGGTCCAGGAGCTCAGTGTCCAGTGGGAGTCCTCCAGGTACAGCCTCCAGTTGCCTGTGGCCACAGAGCACAGCCTGGGGCTGGGAGGTGCAGTCACACACAGCAGGGCAGCTGCCACCACTCCCACCAGGTAGGAGGAGGAGGAAAAGGAGTGGGGGCCATGGGGGCCAGGCTTGCTTTGGCGCTGTGGCCGCATCCATTCCCTCTTCAGTCCTGGAACAGATGATGACATGACCCTTTTTGGAAAGTGGCTTCAGATGATGGTGACCCAGGACTTCCTGGCCCTTCTTAGAGGGGAGAGAAATTGAGCTATCTGTCTCAGCATTGCCAACAAGTAGGGCACAGAACCAGGAAGAATTATTGTGTGCCACCTCCCTGGGGCTTCCTGGAGCTTCTCTTGGGGGAATCTCTGCTTTCATCCCTCTTCCAGCCCTGGATAACCAGCCAAGTGCTTACTGGCTCATGGAACCCTAGCCAAGCCTGATTTCTGTGGGGGAAAGACTTATGGGAAAGGGGCAGGGAACAGCAGGGAAGTAGCTAAGTCTTTCTGACTTAGTTGGGGTTTCCCGATGTCTGTGAGATCCAGGAGTATCTCAGGTCCCTTCTACCTGCTATCTACTCTCCCCAACCTCTGCTCTGTCCCTCTCTGCTCGCCCTTATTCTTTCATGTTATGTACCCATAGCTTTGCCTAAGGCTCAGGGAGATCATGTCCTTGGCCCAGAGTTCCCTGTCCTAACTGGAGAGGTCCTCACCTTGACTAGCTCACCCAAGGCTGGGAAACATGCAGGCCTCAGCTCCACCCCCATGCTGAGCCCTTCTCCAGCCTGGCCCAGGGCCTGAGCCCTGGACTAGCAAGATCCAATCTCCCCAAAATGCCTGTGTGGACCATGGCCAAGCTGTACATTAGCTGTGGCATAGGATGCAGGGGGCACTTGACTGGGAAGCTGGGAATCCCCTGCAAGAGCCCAAGGGCAACTGCTTCTCCACTACAGATGAAGCTGGGGTGTGTAAGAGACTCAAAGGATGCCCAGGTTTTGAGTTCTGCTGCTTGGTCTTCAGTCTTGGGCTTCCCTCATATCCCTCCTTAATGGTGTTTGGATTCTGGTCCAGTGTGTGGATCTGAGGGAGAGCTCTTGTCCCTTTTGGCCTGAGCTGCCTGAGAAATTCCCAAGAGACAGATTGTGAACCAGGGAGCATAGATAAGTGAGGAGAGACAGCATCTGACAGAGCGCTGTAGGGTGGGGAGGAAGGGAGCCCTCAGTTGGCACAGCAAATATCTGGGCACAGGCAGCGTGCAGAACCTTTAGACTTACAGTTGGTTTCTGGGTACCAGGGTCTGGGAACTCTCAGGAAGATAGTGACTACAATGGCTGAGGTGACAGAGGAGAAGGGGCCCTCTAGGTGGTGAGGGCCCCTGACTCACCCTGTTCGATGTCAACAGGGACCCCAAGGGAGGGGAAGTACTGGAATTGGCAAGGGATGTCTACAGAGATAGGAGCAAAATCCCACGGATGCTCTCTCAGAGACAGGGTGTCTGAGTCTCTCCTGAGCAGCAATCCTGATCACCTTTGGGCTTGAGGGCTTCAGGCTCTCTGAGCTCTCCAGGGTCAGCTTTCTACTACATGCCCTATTTTTTTCTCATGTGGAACTTAGGAGAGGCAGTTTAAGAGACGGTCATTTCTTCCCCTTTCCTTCCCACTCTCCACCCCCTGGAAGGATCATTCTAGTGGTTATCCTACAGCCACTTCAGAGGATTGTCCTAGTTGGAAAACTAAAGAAAGAGGCCAAAAGAGCAGAGTGATGCAGAAAACTGGCCTGAGGCTTGGGGATGAGAAAGAATAACATGGGGCAAAGACTGCAGAGCAGACTCCTCTCGCCCCATCCTGACCTAACAGGTCTCAGTGGCATGCCCGGAGCTCTCCTGGGAAAGATGGCCCAGCCTCCCTTGTTCTCCCTGGGCTTGTTCTGGGAAGTCCACCTGACAGCTAGCTCTTCATCACTACTGCTGCAGTTCCTGCCCATCCTCTGCTCTGCATTCAGCAAAAGTGCAGTGAAGCATGTAACCCAGCTTTCTTCCTTCCTGCTCCGGTGAGTTTCCCCTGAGTCCCAAAGCCTGCTGGGCCAGGGGCTGAGGGAGATGGAGCAACCTATTTTATTTCTAAGGTGGCTAATTTAATCACAAACTTCCCTTGTCAACCTCCATGGCTGCAGGACCGGCTTCCGGCCACTTTGCAGGAAGAGAGATGTCAGAACCACTTTTTTGTCCCTTCAGTGGGGTGGGGACATCACCAAGACATGACTCTTGAGGGCATCACCCCCTCAAGGGTAGGGAGCTTTCTTCTTGTCTTTGTGTGGCAGTCCAGAGACACTTTTGAACCTGGGTATCCTGTATCCTCTTTAAAGCACGCCTCACTGACGACTGGGAACTGTGTGGGGAGAGGGTTCCTGGGGGAAATATTTCTGGAAGATCCAAACTGGCTGTGGAGAAAAACCCTTCCAGAGGAAGGGGAGCACTGGGGAGATGGAAGGGAGGTCTCTTTGGAGCTTTTTCCACTCAGGGGTACTTGGGATATTTGAGTTTCCCCCTCAAAGTCCCATGGGGCCAGGATTAATTGTTGGCAGGGTGGGGACCCAAACCCTCTTGCCTTGAGGGGCACACTAGTCTGGCCTGTCTCTGAGAATGTTATGGAAAAGGGCAGCTGCATCTTCGGGACAGAGGGTGCGGGCACTTACCGGAGAAGCTGGAAGGTGGCATCAAGTTTGGCACTGCATCTGTCCAGCGCTGGGGGCCCTGTCCCATTCGAGCTGCACCTCAGGCCCCTGCACCTTCCCTGTGTGCCTCAACCCCCGCTGCCTGGCTGCCCGGCTGCTGCCTGCCGCTGCTGCTGCTGCTGTTGCTGCTGCGGCCGCTGCTGCCAAGACTGAGGTGGAGAAAAGAGCCAGAAAGCATTTCTCCTCTTTTTTTTTTTTTTCCTCTCTCTCTCTTTTTAAACCAGGCAAGAATGAGTCTGCAGCAACCCTGTTGGTGCAAAATAAATAAATAAAGCAACGAGGGAGGGCTGCAGCAAGCACCACTACAGGCTGGCGAGTGACAGGGGAGGGATCCAGGAGGGAGGCTCTGGTGCCAGGGAGGGGTCATGCAATAGCAAGAGCAGCAGGCTCTAGAGGATCTCTCTGACATCCTGATTCCCCCGCAGGGGAGCTCGGGCCAGACACCTTCCAGAGGATTGTCTTTTGGTCTCCCAGATGTGGAGCAATTCTGTGCAACCTCTAAATCTAAACGTTCCCTGTGGGTATCATTTATGGAAAGTTCTCAGTCTAGAGCATCTCCCGTGGAGCTCAGTTTGAGGCTCCTCTAGTGGGGGTTCCTGAGGATTCATTCACAGTCCTCACTGAGGGACTGCTCCACCTGGGAGAAACTGCATGGGTGGGGTGAGGGTGGGTTGGATCCGTATAATGCTGATGGATTGCTGAGCTGGAAATCTGAGTCTTGACCCAGGAATGAGACTGGAGAGCAGGCATGCAGGTAATCTAATTTAAGGATCTCCTCTACCCCCTGACACACGCACCTCTTGCCTTTAAAATCATTTTATAAAGAATGGCACAAGTTGGGGTTTATGTTTACTCAGATGAACCTGTCCCCTTAGAGGACACAATCCACCCCCAACCCCCCAACTGCCCATCATTGCTGTTAATCCCTCAGGGGAGGGTTCACAGCTGTTTATGAAGCCAAGAGAGGTTCTGGGCAAGATCACAGCTAGGGAAACAGGCCCAGGCCCTGCTCCCTGGTGTCCTCCATGTTGGAGTCAGCGGTGCCCAATGACGGGGTGATGCAATCGCATCTGCTTCCTTCTCCACAACAAGAGCAGGGCTAGCAGGCAGGCCAGGAAAGTCCTCCAGGGTCTGATCGTGCCTTCCGACTGACCAGTGCCAGCCACCTCTGCTTCTCTTGGCGCTTCTAGTGGTAGAAGACAGCTGGAGCTGGGGTGGTGTTTGGATCACCCCAGGCCCAAGATCAGTGGACCGGAGCACCATGGAAATCTCTGGGGGGTCCCTCAGGATTGGGACTTTTCCCTGAGGCCACTAGGCTCCTCCAAGCTGTGGCCTCACGGATGAGAGAGATTGTGTCAGGTTCCTGTGTCTCTGGAACTGCACGGCGGCTGTTGAGTCTGTGTGTGTTTCCCCTGCGTTATGGATATGTGTCTCTAATCAGATTTGTGCCAGCCCCTAAGGTGTATTTTTAAAGTGCACATAAGAGGTTTGAGTTTTAACTCTATATCTGAGATGCTCTTGGCCTTCATTGTACCCTAGTCCCACACCCAAATCCCATAAAACAATTATCTCCAGCCTCTCATCCTCATCCCATCCATTTTTGGTTAGACCCCAGGAAAAGGGTAGGGTGCCCAAACGCTTCCTTGTTGAGCTGGGAGGAAGGTAGAGGCAGAGAATGTAAAGCTCCAGATTCATTTTATACGGGTCCTTCTGGGCTCTCACTGCCAGTCTCTGAGCTTGATCCATCTCCCTCAGCCGAAGCCCAAAGGGAAATGCAATGAGGTATTTCAAAGGCTTATTCTTAGCTTCCGAGCTTCTGAATGAATTGCATTCTATTCATCCAGGGAGCCCTGGATGCCCCTGTTTTCTTGAGGATGGCTTGGTCCCCCAGAAGTCCTTATATCCCAGCTACCGCATGCCTTCCAGAAGCTGGGTGTGAAGGAATATGGGAAATGAGACAGGTCAAAGCTGAGGCTGGAGATGGCGTTCTGCCAGCCCCACCCTCTGGCGATTGTCCCACTGCCAGGCCAGCCTGCGGACAGAAAGCCATCTGCTCACTCCCAAAGAGCTGGTGGGGACCACCCTCCAGGGTTCATGGGAAAGGAAAAGGCCGAGGGTGGAACGGGGTCCAGGGAGGTGGGCCAGCAGGTCATAGGGAGAGGTAAGGAGTCCCTCTTCCAGGTCACTTGGACAGCCCCACAGGTGACTCGGTTTCAGTGCTGAAGAGCTCCTTGTAGAGTGGAGGGAAAGCGGCTTGGACCACGATGGGGTGGAGGTGCTGGAAGATCTGCAGCCTTTCCATGTGCTGGCTACACAGGCTCCGAAGCTTCCCCTTGGGTGGCAGCTGGATATGGGTTAATGGGGAAGGGAGGGTCAATACTTCAGCTCTCCTCAGAGCAAAGAAGTCTGCTCATTCTTCCTGGGCTAGGACCAACCCTCCTTGCCTTCCCCTTATGTACTTGGCACTTTGGTACCAGCCAAATCCCACTGGTAGAAGTACGAGTGTGTTCAGGACACTGGAGGGAAGCAAGAGTGGGACAGGTGAATGTTTTCTGGGTGAAGCCCTCAATTTGTGTTCCCGATACTTCTAGAATGAACCTTATCAAAGACTCTAATGTTCATGCTTTTATAAGAGTGACTGACTCTTGTTGTATGCGGTCACATGCCTCTGCCTTTGTGCATGTTGTTTCCCTCTTCCCGTTCCTAATTCTTACCATCTAGTGTCACCTCTCCTAAGACTACTTCCCTAACTCCCCCCATCTGGATTAAGGTCCTTCTTTTGGGCTTTCCTCTGTGTAGCACTTACCACATTGCAGGAAAATGGTCCAATTTGTCTGCCTTCCCACCCTAGATTTCAGCTCCTTAGCTGGGGTCTCTCTTTCCCTGTCTCCTCTGTGCCTATCATAATGCTTAGCACATGGCAAATGCTTAATAACTCTTTGAACTAAACAGACTTTCTAAGCAGGCGCCTAACACTGCAAGTCAAACCAACGCTGCCAGCACTCAGCCAAAGGGAAGGTGAAAAAGGCGCAGAAATCAGTGAGCAGACGGAGGCAGGGAGACCTCACCGGAGCAAGGCTGAAAGAACAATTTATCTCTTGCGGTCTCCTCTATAACCAAGGGACTTAAAAATGTCTCTTGCCTGCCATTGCCTCCCTCCCCCTAGCTTAGTTTCCTTGGAAAGAGGCAGTCAGGGAAAAGCAGGCAGCAGGGTGTGATCCCTTCACACAGAAAGATCCCTGGATTCTTTCTCTTCCTCCCCACTGCTTCATTCTGAGCTTTTTTGGGCTATGGCAATAGCTTCCTTTGTTCATTCAACAAATATTTGTTGAGAACCCATCTGAATGTGAGCTAGACACTGTGATGGCCTCTAGTGATATATCAGATAGATCAGTCAATAAAGTATAATCTCTACCTTGATTAAATTTACATTCTGGTGAGGGGCCCAGAAAATAAATATGTAATGTGTCAGATAATAAGTTCTTTAAAGAAAACTAAAGCTTTTTATATGGGGTTACTGGTTAGGAAAAACCTCTCTCGAATGAAGAGATGGATCAAACCCTTTGGAAAACTGGGGGAAGAACCTTCCAGGTGACTACAACAGCAGGTAGAAAAGCCCTGTGACCGGGTTTGATGTGTTCAAGGAATAGCAAGGAAGCAAGTGTGGCTGCAATGGGTGTTTGAAGGGACAGTGGAAGGTCAGGTGAGAAAAGAAGGCAGGGATCATGTTATGAGCCACTTGACCATGACACAGACTCTAGATTTGATTCTAAGCATGACGGGCAGCTACAGGAGGGCTGAGAACAGGAGTCAAGGTTGGGCGTGGTGGTTCACACCTGTAATCCCAACACTTTGGGAGGCCAAGGTGGGCGGATCACCTGAGGTCAGAAGTTCGACACCAGCCTGGCCAACATGGTGAAATCCCGTCTCTACTAAAAATACAAAAATTAGCCAGGCATGGTGGCTCACCCCTGTAATCCCAGCTACTCAGGAGGTTGAGGCAGGAGAATCACTTGAACCAGGGAGGTGGAGGTTGCAGTGAGCCGAGATCACACCACTGCACTCCAGCCTGGGCGACAGAGCAATACTCTGCCTCAAAACAAACAAAACAAACAACAACAACAACAACAAAAAAGCAAGAAAAAAAAACACAGAAGTGGGCATGGTTAGACTGCATTTTTAAAAGGGCTACCGTGGGTGCTGAGTAGGTGTGGTGTGGTTGCTACAGGGCAGACGAGGGTGGAACAGGGGCCCAGTTAGGAGGCCTCTCTTAAAGTCCAAGTGAGAGCTGAGAGCTGGTAGGGGCCGGAGTGGTGGTAATAGTAGGGAAGGTGATGTATTTCGAAAGCAGATCCAACCAGATTTGCTTTCCAATTGCTCTCCCAGATTCCTGTCTCTCCTCCTTCAAATCCATCCTGTAGCAGATTAAAGTTCAAGTTCTTCAGAGCACAGACTGTGTAAGTCATTGCCGTATCCTTAGCACCCAGCCCTGCGCCTGGCACATAGCAAAGGCCTGCTTGAATAATTACATAAATGGTTCCTTTATACTGGTTCCAAAGTAAATTGCCTAAATAACAGCTCTGATTGTGTCATTTTTCTAGCCTTTGGAGCTCCCTGTGGCCTAGAAATAAAGCTTTAACTCTTATATGGCATTGAAAGTCCTCTCTGACTTGCCCCTGACCTAATTTTCAGGCTCATCAGCTGGTGCTCTTCTGCCCCGTAGGTCTATCCCAGCTCCTGATTTTACGCTTTAGTCAGGATGTACCATGAGCTATTCTCCACATATGCACTATTTTGCCTCCTTATTTTTGCTCCTGTTGTTCTTGGTCTTCACTGTACCCTAGTCCCACGCCCAAATCCCATAAAACAAATATCCCCAGCCTCTCATACTCATCCCATCCATTTTTTTGGTTAGATCCCAGGAAAAGGGTGCATATATATATATATATTTTTTGCTCCTATTGTTCCCTAAGCCTGGAATGCCTGCCCCACCCCCATGAATGCCTGTTAAAATCTTACATCATTCATGGCCTAGTATAAATGTCACCTTCCCTGGGAAGTATTTATGACCCACTCCTTTTACCCCCAAATTATTTTTAATCCCTGTTTTATACTCTCATAACATTTTTCTGGTGTCTCTTATTATAGTTATACATAGGGGACACAGGGATAGAAAAAGCACAAAGGGCACTGGGATTCAATCTTCATTTAAGTCACTGAAGTCTCCTGATAGCTACAAGATTTTTTTTTTGAGACAGAGTTCGCTCTTTTTGCCCAGACTGGAGGGCAATGGCACAATCTTGGCTCACTGCAACCTCTGCCTCCCGGTTTCAAGCGATTCTCCTGCCTCAGCCTCCCAAGTAGCTGAGACTACAGGCGCCTGCCACCACACCTGGCTAAGTTTTTGTATTTTTAGTAGAGACGGAGTTTCACCATGTTGGTCAGGCTGGTCTCGATCTCCTGAACTCAGGTGATCCACCCGCCTCAGCCTCCCAAAGTGTTGGGATTACAGGCGTGAGCCACTGTGCCTGACTGCTACACAGGGAGATTTGAACACCTGTCCTATTGACTGTGTTGCCATGAGGATGAGAAAGCATGTCAGCAAAAGCACCCTGTTGGCTGGGCGCGGTGGCTCAAGCCTGTAATCCCAGCACTTTGGGAGGCCGAGACGGGCGGATCACGAGGTCAGGAGATCGAGACCATCCTGGCTAACACGGTGAAACCCCGTCTCTACTAAAAATACAAAAAAATAAGCCGGGCGAGGTGGCGGGCGCCTGTAGTCCCAGCTGCTCGGGAGGCTGAGGCAGGAGAATTGCGCGAACCCGGGAGGCGGAGCTTGCAGTGAGCAGAGATCCAGCCACTGCACTCCAGCCTGAGCGACAGAACGAGACTCCGTCTCAAAAAAAAAAAAAAAAAAAACAAACCCTGTTAATTGCATTATTATTATATCACATACCACATTCTACTCTGTGTTAGCGTTAGTGATACACAGATCTCTTCTTCATACCAGATTAAAATCTTTTGGTGGGGGCGGCAACCGAATCTCTGTATCTTTCCACGGTGCCTTATACAAGCAGGTGCTGGGTAAATGCTGGCTATATTAAACTGAGTTGTTCCCTGGAGGTCCCTCCCAATTCCAGGCTGTCTAACTTTCCAGTCTTCATGCACATGGAAGTAGCTGTTCATTCCCTTAGTTCCTACTGCTGATGCAAGTTCTCTAACACAGCGTGGTATTCCCGCACTTCCTCTTCTGTACCCGCAGAACCCGGCCCTCGCAAACTCTGATGTCACAGAGCTGGCGATGGGCCTGGCCTCTTCTACTCCAGGGACTGCTCCTACCTTTGCCAGGATGCTTTGGCGATGAGTTTTGCAGAGATGATGATGAAATGCCAGCTCCAGATTGTACTGCAGCTGTTCTACTTTCCTTTTCTCTTGGAGCCCTGGCCGGTCTGGAGGAGGGGGTGGGACCATAATGAGAACAAGAAAGAAGGTGGACATTAACTCCCAACAAAAGGGTGTATCTTTTTGGACATCTGTGCTGGATAGAGGTCTTCTCTGCTGAGTGTGTGCATGTGTGTGCCTTGGTTTGATGATGGTAAGCTCTGGGACGCTGGGCTTGGCTAACTGTCTACAAGGAGAACTGGGAAGAGATGAAAGGTATGAGAACTTCTGATCTCCTGACTCCACGCTACCTTCTCCCTGGTCACCTGATATTCCACATAGCTCATTCAATGCTAGGCACTAAGATTCTGTCATAGGGGGAACAAGAGTTGGAAAAGAGCTCCCTGATGTACGAAAAAGTCTCCTGATAGGAGGTGGCCTTCCTGAAGGTGCCCAGGCCTGCACCAGGGGGCTTGCAGCAATCTGTGGCTAACTTTTGCCCTGATTCTATAAAATACCCAGAAGTCATCTTTAAAGTTTTTATCTCTAGTTTGAGGGGCATATTTAGGTGTCCACTCACTGGCAGAGCCAGAAGACTGATAGTCTCGATCTGCAAACTCAGGTTAGCATCTTGACCCACTTCCCTAGGTTCTCGGAATACTTAGCATTCAGCTGGCTCAGCCCAGCTACTCCATGCCAGGGGAGTGGATAGGCTATCCAGAGTCTTCCCATTATAGGCATACAGCCTTAAAATTAGTTCACACAGAGCAGTGATTCTTAGTCTTGGTGGCCTGGGGGTGGCTGTTAAAATTCAGTGCACCCCTGATCAATTACAGATGGTCCCAGTCTTATGACGATTTGACTTACTATTTTTTAATTTTATGTTGGTGAGAAAGCCACTTGCATTCAGTAGAAACCATACTTTGAACACCCATGCAATCATTCTGCTGTTCATTTTTAGAACCATATTCAATAAATTATATGAGCTATTCAACACTTTATTTAAAAATAGGCTTTGTATTATATGCTTTTGCCTGACTGTAGGCTAATGTAAGCGTTCTGAGCACGTTTAAGGTATGCTAGGCTAAGCTATGATGTTCAGTAGGTTAGGCGTGTTAAATGTAATTTCAACTTACCATATTTTCAACTTATAGGTTTATCAGGACATAACCCCATCATAAGTAGCGAAGCACATGTACACTGGAATCTCTGGAAGTGGGACCCAGGCAGCAATAGTTTTTAAAGCTCCTCAGGTGATTCTGATGTGTGCTACAATGATGTCACTGCCATAGACTAACAATCAGACACTTTTCTATCAGGAACGTGGCTCATTTCCTCTCAACCTCATTTCTCCCCACTTCCCACAACCCCATATTATGCTGCTCTTGTCCCTCTCTGAGAGTCCTCTGAATCTTTATTTTAACTCATTTTATATTATAGCAATACTGAGTAGGGCTCATTCTGCTATTTAAAACTATTTCCCAGATTTAACCACATCTGAAGATCTAGACTCTTCTTCAATATCTGCCATGCCCCTGCCACCTGAATGTCCTTCACCCAAGCCCAGCGACACTTACTGGCATTGATGAGAACAAGGGCTGTGTAGAGGGCAATCTCATCCTCGGAAAAGTACAAGGCACTGAGGGAGTGGGAGAAGTCAAAGATGGAGCTGATGAGCTCGCTGCAGCCTGTTGGAGTGGAAATGAGAAAAGTGAGAGAGTGGCTGGAGCCATGGTGCCCGAGGACACTGCCCTTATGGTGTTTAGAGCAGAGCCCTGGAAAGAGGGTGCCCTGGGTCACGAAGCTTTGCCTGGGGTTGGCATCAGAATCTTCTCTCTCATTTCTCCCTGCCCCTCACCCAAGGCTCGGAACAGCTCCATGCCACCATATTTGCCTTCGAAAAAGACCGTGCGGTTGTCAGCATTGTAGGCCCGGCACATCCTAACCAGCACCACTTCCATTGCTCCTGGGCAGTGGGGAGAGAAGATGCAGGGACAGTGTCAGGCAAAGCCAGGATCTGACTCTGTCCCCCTGATTTCCTTAAGCCACCTCCCTCCACTTGGCTCTGCCCCGTGCTGTGCTCTGTCCCCCTGCCCCCAGGCCTGCCCACCCATCCCTGAGCACCTGCTTTGAGGAGCACAATCTGGTCATTCTGGCAGAGCTCCATAAAGCCTGAGAGCCTCTTGGCGAACTCCACCACGTACTGAATGGCCTCGGTGAGGTGGTGGGCACAGCGTTCCCACATCTCCCACATGGACTGCAGGGAGGGAGGAGGGTCCTGCTGTACGCTCTGTGTGGCCCCGTGATCGTCCTGAGCCCTGGAGCCCCACCTAATAAACTGCAAGGGGTAGGCTCTGAACTCCTATGTTCTCAACTAGCATTTTCAAAAACCTGGTCTTAGAACAAATGCACTCAGGACGATTCCTGCCAGTGAGTCCCATACACCGAGCACCCATTGGCTGCTGACACCGAGTTAGCTGTTGTAAGGAAATCCAAAAAGTATGAGATACAGCTTTGCCCTCCAACAATGTACATCTCGTTGAGGTGAAAAGGACATACTGCTGCCCCTTCCCCCACAAAGGTTATGCCCAAGATCTCAGTAACCTAGAGAAGCAAATGTGAAGTGCCAAGCGAGTGTGTTTAGAACAGGTGGTATCATGAGAGTGTGATAGAAAAGGCAGCATAAACTTTGGAGCCTGATGAATCTGAATTTGACTTTGGTTCCACCACTTTGTGACCTTGAGGAAATCTATTAACCCCTCTAGGCTCAGTTTCTGTCTGTTAAAAATAGGAATAAATGCCACCCTCATAGGTTGGTTGTGGTAGGGGCTGAGGATAATTTACGTTAAGTGTTTAGCACAATGCCTGGCAGAGAAGGGGTGTTTAACAAATGGTAATCAGGGTTCTGATTATTGTTATTGTTGATGGAAGAGGAGGAAGGAGAGTGCACCAAGGTCTGCATGGTAGAGGAGGTAGGATGAAGGCCAGGTATAATTTTAATAGGCAAGGACTAAGGAAAAGCGCTCATCCATCTGCTGGGGTGTAGACAGATACACACATTCACAAATGTACTAGAGGGTGTGCATATATGCTTGTTGGCCAGCCTGTGTCTGTGACGTGCCGCCCTGCCCCAATACCCAGGTGTGTGCAGGTAGCCATCTCTGAGCTCTCCCTGTGGGGGTGGGCTGCGTTCCCTTCCTGCAGGTCTCCTGGCCTCACCTTCCTCTGGTAGCCAGTCACTTCCTCCCGGGAGAAGATGTTGGAGCGCTGCCGCAGCAGGTCCTCCAGCCGCAGCTGGCACGTCTCCCGGTAGGACTTGCAGACGCTCTGCACGAGGTGCTCTGGGGTCGAAGAAGGAAGGCATGGCGTGATCTCAGCCAGCTCCTACCCCTACTCACACAAGGGCACTTCTCAGCCTGGCCTATCCTGCTCCGCCTCCTCCCTCTTCCCCTCATCCGGACCCCTCAATTCCCTCAGGCTCATGTTTGATTGATATAGGGTGCTGGTGGAAACCCCTCCCTCATTTCTGCCACCCTCTCCCTTCCCCCTAGCTGCTCACCTATCTCTGTCAGGGAGGCATAGGGTGCCTCCGGTGTGCTGCGAAAACTGGGGCTGCCGTAGCTGTCTGGGCCCTGTCCCAGTTCCCCAAGCCCAGGATGCCTGTGTTCCTCAAAACGAAGTCCACATCGGTCAGGGGTCAGCTGGCTGCCTGTGCTATAGAAGCTCTCTCTGCCCTCAGCCTTGCCCCGCTCAGGGCTGTATTCAAGGTGGCATGAGGCCCCATTGAGCCCTGCCTTGGCCAAGTTGTTGGAATAGGAGGGCCCAGAGCCTGAGGCTCTCAGGAGGCCAGGGGGACAGGCAGAAGCCTCAGGCAGGTCAGGCGAGGAGCCCAGGGGCAGCTGCCCATCTGGGAGCCCCAATGTGTAGGTGAGGGTATCTGCTCCTTGAGCCCCTGCTGGGGGGGTCTTGACCACTGGTTCCTGTTGCTGCTGTTGCCGCTGCTGCAGCTGTTTCTGCACTTCTGCATGCAGGCTGTCCCTCTGCTTCTTGGACATGCGGCCGAACTTGACAGCTGAAAGAGGTCCAAGGACCAGGGGTTTATGAGGCAGGAGAACATTGCACAGGGCAGGGTCAGCAGGCATTTGGTCATTAAAGGATTAACTTGCTGCTCTCTGAATGACTGACTCCAGGCACAGTTTTTCTAGCCTTTAGGGAACTTATGCTCAAGACCCCGTCCACCTCTCACTCTTGTTTGCTTCTGGGGTCTGTCCAGCCTGCCATTTCAATCTGCTAAGCAAAATCTTCTAAGTTCTAAATCAGCTTTGAATCATGGCAAAATTCCAGCAATGAGTCTAGGCTGGGGATTCTGGCCTCCAGATATTGGGGCTGGGGGTGGTCGCGCAGAGGGCCTCAGGCTGTATTGGGGTCACCTCGCCTTTCTGGGAGGGTCGGAGGAAGAGGAGAGCTGAGAACACAGGTCTCCCTGTGGTCAGGCCTGCAGGCTCCCTGGTGACCTAGATACTCACCACAGCCCAACCCGGGCTCCGCGGCTTGTTTCTGAACATCCTCTTCTGCTCTCTCTTTCCTGCCTTTTTACTCCCCCCGCCACCCCTCCCAGGTGTGGGGGCACAGCCCCTCGCCCCGCCTGCCCCTTTGCACCCCTGCGTGCTTCCTTTTGCTTTGTTATTTTGGGCACTGAAAAGTGCTGACGGGCTCCTTCTGGCTCCTCATCACCTCGTGCCCCCCCAGCTCCACCCTGGGCTCCTTCTGTGGTGGGGGTGCGGAGGGGGACCGGTGAGGAGGTGGTGGGTGAGAAGGGTGGATAAGGCACCAGGAACACACCAGCCCTCCCCCATGACCACTCTCTGGTTGTTCTCAGGCCAATTCTGTTTCCATTCCTGGCCACAGTCCCGTGTCTAAGTATGGGAATGGGGGACTAGGAAGGGAGATAGAGCTAGAACTACAGCAATGGGGTAGCGGGGGAAGGTGCCAGAGCTGCATGGGAGCTGGGCCAGAGGGAAGCAGAGTGAGGAGAATTCGTTCCAAGTAAGAAGATATGAAGAGGTATCGGACCTTGGAAAGAGGCGGTTTGTTCTAGCAAAGCCTAAAGCTGGGGACTCCAAAGAACTTTGATGGGGTGACCATCCATCCCGTCAGGGGAGGAGACAAGGGGTTGTAAGGGGGAGGAGGAACGGACAGCAGACCAGAGGATGGGCAGTCTTGCAGGTTAAGCCTTGTCTAGCTCAGCAGGCCAGGCTGCCCCTCCGGAGATACCAGGAAAACCCCAGGGGACTGTCGACTTGGCCTCACCATCTCGGGACATGCCCAGCGCCAGGCATTTCTGCAGGCGGCAGTGCTGGCATCGGTTTCGGCTGGTGCGGTCGATGGGGCAGTTCTGCTGACGGGTGCAGGAGTAGGCTGCGTTACAGCGCTGGCTTCGGCGGAAGAAGCCCTGGGGAAAGCAGGTGGAGGGCAAGACTGCTTATCCTGGCCAGCCCCAGCTCACTCACAAACGCCTCCAGCCCACAAGCTCTGGCAGCTTTTCTACATTCCGCGACCTGTCAGTTTTCTGTCGCCTCCATCTATTTGTGTAATTGCAATTTATCCTGCAGTCATTTCCCTAGCTTAAGACAGGGCCCTGCCAGTGTTGAGGGTTCTCCAGGGAGGCACTACTCAGGTATTTTCCTGGCTGCCCAGGAGATCATCCCTGGAGTCAGAACAAAGACCACTAAGCCCCTTGTTTATCCCTAAGGAGACGCTGTGTGTGTGTGTGTGTGTGTGTGTGTGTGTGTGAGTGTGCACACACACACACATGCATGCATACACATGCCTACGACTCACCTTGCACCCCTCACAGGTGATAACCCCGTAGTGGATCCCAGACGACTTGTCCCCACAGATTTTGCAAGGGATCACTTCAATTTGTGCTGGAAGAGAGAAAGAGAAGTAGGTCAGCCCAGGAGCCTTTTCTGCATTCAACCACTATGTACCTGGGCTGCAGATACAGGTACCTGGTGCTTCCCCCACTTCTCCAACCAGCTCCAGCTTGCTGTTTCCCTCTTGCAAAATGGAAGGGGAAGTGAAATGCCAAGTGCTTCTCAGCAAAGGATGTGAGGAAGCTGTGTTTGTTTCACAGAGGAGGGGAGTGTCGAGGGGCGGCCGGGAGTTGTATCAGTGCTACGGAGGCAGAGAAAGCAGCTGCAGAGGGGCCACCTGCTCAGCCTTCGAGTTGAAAAGCTCCAGTTGCCTCCCTCCCTCCTTGGGACATAGGACTGCTCACTGCCTCACAACACCTGCTTCCCGCCCAAGGGGCTTCCTCTGTGCCTCCCTCCCCCACTGAGGCTCAGCTCCCATGGGCAGAGTGTAGGGTATGGCAGGAAGATGTGGTACACCCGGGGTGGGGGATAGGCAGAGATGCCAGCTCTTCCCAGCCAGTCAGTGAAGGCTCAGGGAGGGGCTAATACAGAGAAGGGATGAGGGGGTGGCAGGGAGGAGCCCAGGAAACTGGGTCTCAGCACCCCAGCTCTGCTGGATGCCTGAGAGCCCAGGGAAAGAATTAGCCAGGGCTCTTAGGCTCTTGGCCCCAGAGCAGCGAGAGGGTGGCTTTGTGTACATCCGTGTGTCTGAGTGTGAACACTTATGTTTGTACAAGGGCATCCGTATCCATTTGTGTGAACATGAATCATCAGTGTTAAAACTGGCTGAGACTAGACACCATCTCATTCAACCTCTTCATTTACCAATGAAGGACTAGGCCAGATAAGGCAAGGCAGTTGGACCAGGGTCATAGGCTAGTTTGCCTGAGAGCTGGGTCTATATCCCAGTTCCCCTGAACTTTCCATTATGCTGCTCTGTGTACCTGTCTTTTGGGGTACACGTATCAGTGGGTATGTTTGAAGGCGTGCTTGTGCGTGTGCATATGCATGAAAAGTACGTGTCATTTGTGAGCCTACGAAATATCTGGTTACTCCTGCGTCCACACGTGCATGTTTGTATGTTAGCATCTGCTCATGGGGCACTAGGTCCCCAGGTTCTCTCTCCCACTGAACTCACTGTAACCTGTACCTGCTTCCCCACGCCTGTGGTTCACTACTGGCCCTAGGCTCATCTCTGCTTTGCCCTGTCCCTGTAAATGTCCATGGCTCTCTGCTGAGCTTCAAGGAGGCCTTCTCCCAGCTCTTCCTTGAAAGGTAGTTGGGCAAAGCTTGGGATCCCTGGTTACTGTAGGTTTTTTTTTTTGTTTGTTTTTTTAACATTTCCCAGAGCATATGCGTCTCTTTTCTGCCATCACTGACCTGCTGCCTCCCCTCTGAGTGGAGAGCCCTGGGGCAGGGCAGGCCAGAAAAGTGAAGAGAAGGGCCAAAGCCCCTTTTAATCTATGACATGTCTCCCACCAAAGGGGCAAAAGAAGTGGCAGCCTCTCTGGAGGGTGAATGCACATTGCTGTGAGCTCACCTCCAGTCCCTGGCCTGGATGCTGGTCACAGGTAGGGCCTGTTGATGTGAAGTGGGCAGGGAGACCATGGCTTGCCCGCCATTCCCCAAAATATTATTTCCATCATTCTTAAACCATCATCCCTCAGGCCAGCCTTGAAGTGAGTTAGAGGCAGTAGCTGCGCCTGACGGGGACAGGGCACATGGGTATCCGAAATCCCTTCGTTAGCACTCGATTCCTCCCCCAACCCCCAGCCACATGTGCCTGCCGGGCAGCAAGCTTCCAGTGCTCACGTTGTGAGCTGCAGTCCCCCCAGGACCAGGCGGTAAGTGAGCTTTCCAGATTCTTTCCAGTAAATTAAGAGCAGATTTTAATGCATCTGCTTTAAAATGCAGGGGAAGAGGGGAAGAGAGAATAAAAGGGCACTGGTGTCTGGAACGGGGGCAGAAAATGTGGGGGCACTCATACTTCCAGTCACTTAGATTCTCCCTCTCGACCTGTGTTTTCTTGTCAGCAAGATCAGGATAAAAATATTATTGCGTCCATGGGGTGATTGTAGGTAACAGAGAGTAATGAAATGACATCACCCATGGAAAGCACTGTGTATTCAAGTTACTCCTGAGCAGAGGTCAGGCCGAGAAGCCCAGTGGGCCTGGCAAGGCTGGGAGGAGCACTCGGGCCCTGTGGACTCTTGTTCTTGCCCAACACCTCCCCCTCCAATACTGCGGCATCTCTCTTTTCAGTGGCCTAAGACCAGAGACGGGAGAAACCAACGTAGGCCACCCAAAAAAGTAAGCGGGAGGGAGATTAGGCCAAGCCACAGTGGGAACTCGGGCTCTGGCCCAGCAGTCAACCACAGGCCTCCCTGCCTCTTCCCTTCTCCAAGACCCACATCCGTGTGCGTGTGTGTGCTGACCACATGGGTGACCCCAGACACATCTCCCTGCCCCATGCTTGACCCACTGCTGCTCCTGGCCCTAGGAACCTCACAACAGTGTCACCAAGACCCTGACCTTCTCAGGAAGATGCGGCCAGTCAAGGACCCCGTTCGCAAATACCCATGTTTGGGGGACACCAAAGCCTTGGTCTCCAGTCACCTGGTCAGCCCATCCTCCATCCTCCTAGTCCAAGACAGAAGTACCCAGTGAGACAGGCACACAGGGCCAAAGACTCTGAGCTGGAATGCCAGACCCCCTACCCTCACTGAGCTAGAGAGACCAAGAGGTTTGGGACCAGGAAAAACAGAGACATAGACCTAGGGATGGAGAGATGGCTGCGGAAACACCGAAACACAGAAAATCCACGCTTGTATCCTGGCCTTTGCCCAACCCATAGCCCCCTCTGCACTTCAGGCCCTCTAGTCCTGCTACCCCCTCCTTCCCCTGCCACCTGCACTCCCTTCAATGCCATCTACCCAAACCTCAGAAAGAAAGTACCAGTGCTGTGTACATAAATGTGTGTGTTACTTGTAGAGAAGGGGTGGGGGAGAACGGGAAGGGGGCTGGTAGACTTGGGGGTTGGTGAGAGGAGCTGAAAACACCTCTGATGATAACTCACCTTCAAAAGCTACCCCTGGGAGACACGTCCCTGAAGCAGCAGGTGGTGGGAACTCAGATTGGGGAGAAGGAGCTGAGTAATCACAGGATTACTCAAACTGTTGCCCAGGAGCCAGGTCTGCCAGGAACTTACCATCTAAGGGCCTGCCAGTGCCAGGAACTAGAGCCAAGCAAAGGTCAGGAACCTCGAGCCAGCCCCTGCACCACTGCTCCCATGGCAGCCCTAACTCTACCCTCGTCTGCTGTCTTGGAAAGATCTTTACATCTCACCTGCAGCTCTCTCACTGTAGCTCTCTCCTGAGAGAGAGCTTTCTCCGAAAGAAAACTCCAATTCCACATGCTTCCAAAAGGAGAGACAAATGCCCAAATGCACATGCCAGCTCCTTAAGTCATCTAATGACTGACATCTAATGACTATGGCTTTTTGCATCTCAAACAAGATTACCTGGGTATCTGAGGTGGGGCTCAAGATTCTGCACTTTGGTCAGCTCTTAGTTGGTGCCTAAGCTTGCTGGTCTTCAGCCTATACTTTTAGTAGCAAGAACTTAGTCCCTATTCCTGCCTTTTTGCCAGGCTGCTCCTTCTAGGAAGTGGGGCCAGTGTTGGCAATCTTTTCCTGAGCTCATTCTTGTATTTTTTCTGCCATCCAGTGTGACCTCTAAAACTTCATTGTGAGACAACACTAGAAAAAGAACCTGAATCTCCTCTGGATTGCTTTAGAGACTGAAGTATCCCCAGGAGCATCCTAGTAGCTCCTCCTATGAGGGGAAATACGGTAGAGGCAAAGTCCTCCATCCTCCTCTAATCGACTCTCACAGCTGCGAGATTCAGTGATAGTGCTCTTTGAGTACTTCCAGAGCCTGGCCCTGTGCCAGCTTAGGAAGCCAACCCTGGGCCCCATCCAGGTGCCCTATGCCACAGAGAGGAAGTGGTAGGAGCAGGGGAGGGGCTGCAACCCAGGGGGATCTCTCCCCTCAAACCCCAGAACCACCACCCCCCAACCATCATGGTACAGAATGGGTTCACACAGAGGAACCCCGGGGTCCTCATCTCCTCCTGGTGCCTCATCAGTCTAGAGCTGGGCCTTTTCCTCTCCTCTTTCTCTCTCCCTTTTCTCCAGTGGATACTGACTAAGGAGAAAGGATAATGATAGACACAAGCATTGGCTGAATTCTTACTCTGTGCCAGGCTTTACATGCATTTTCATTTAATGATCACAACAACCCTGTGAAGTAGGCCCTGCTAGTATCATCCTCATCTTACAGACGAGAAAACTGAGGCCTAGAAAGAGTAAGCAGCTTGACTAAGGTCACACAGCCAGAAGTGGCAGATCTGGCATTTGAACCTAGATCTCTGTAATCCTGGAGCCAGTGCCCTCAAGCCTTAAGCTACACACCCTATGAGGATAAGACGCCCAAATGCACACCGGAGACCTGGGTAGAGGACATGGTTATTGGCTGTGGGGGAAAAAGTGTGAGGTGAGTGTGGTGGTCTAGGAACAGAATTCACAGAGGAAACCCACAGAACTAAAGCCAGGACTCCTGTTTGTATAAAGATCCCAAGAGATATTATTCCCTCTGTCCCAACTCATCCTCTGAGGTCCCAGCCTCCTCCTGCCCTTACCCCTTTCTCTAAGGTCAAGTGGGACGGCTTATATATATCAACAGGGTTCTGGGGGACTCCTCGGGAACACCACAGCCCCTTTAGCGCATAGACTAGGTTTCCACACATCTTGGTATGCCTCTCTTTGGAGAATGAATGAATGAGTGAGAAAGAGGAATACATCTCTTTCCTTAGCTTAGGCTCCTCCTCTCCCCACAGCCAGAACTCTCTGTCTCAATCCCCACTGAGACCACAGCTCTGGGCAGGGGTCCCTTGCACACCCCAACCTGTCACCAGCCTCCCTCCTTTCTCAGCTCTCAGTTCCCCCAGCTTCTGCAAAGCTGGAAACCAAGGTGGTGGGTGCCACCACAGGGGAGCAGGAGCGGGAGGGCTGGATGGGGGCCGGGGAAGAAGTGGTTCTACCTGGTGAACACTACCCCAGCCCAGGCCAGGGCCCTCCCCGCAGCTCCTGGTGAGAATTTTCTGCTGAAACACCCAGATCCTAGGGCTGAGAAAATAGTGAAGCTAAAACTCAGGTGGGCGAGGGAGAGTCTGGGGTTTTGAAAAGCCATGAATGACAGCCAGCCAGCCACCCGAAACCCCCCCTCCTGGTGCCTCCGCCACCCCCGCAGTCTGGGACTGGAGAAAGGCGAGTGAAAACAACCAGTGAATGGGGGAGGGGATGAATCACCAGGAGGAAGCTCTGGCGAGTGGGAGCCCAGACGTTACCATCGGCGCCTTCCCTGCCTCTAGGGCCGTCTGTCCCCTTTCCCAGAGCACCTTTGCTGCCCAGGAGTGTAGTGGACCCACAAAGACCTTGGCTCTGACCCTGAGGCCCTGCCTTGTCACTGTCCCTCCTCCAAAATAGACATCTCCATCCTTTCTGAGCCTCAGAGCCCCAGGGAAGGGGCTGCACTGCAGCAGCAGGCGTGAAGGCGAGACCTCAGAAAGGACTAGCCATATGAGAACTAGAGCAAGGGCCTTGGGCTGCCTGCCTGGGAGAGCCCTTAGCCCTTAGAAAGTCCTGTTACTTGTTAGTTTGAGTCAGCAGCACAGAGGCAGGGGATGGGGAGGAGTTCCTGGTAGGGACCACATATTTTCATTTTGCTGGGACAAGTTGAGTCTTTTCAGAGTCTAGTGCCTTGGGCTCGGGGGTTTGGTATTTCTGTTAGGAATGGGAAGATGGGGAAAGAGAAGGGTGCTGGAGTGATGCAAGGAAGGAAGAAGCCCTTCACAGAGTCCTCAGATGACCCTGGGCTCTCAGGGTGATATCTGTGTACCCTGGGGACTTGGAGTCCTTCCTGGCCCACTGTTCCTCATGATCATGACCAAACCTAAGAAAGACCAGCTCACAGTGATCTCGCACCCCTCGGCCTCCCACCTCCCCATCCAGGCCAAATGCCAGGGCCTAAGTGCCTATTGGTGCCACACTGGCCATGCCCTTAGGGGAAGATGTCTGGGCTACCCTCCCTCTGGCTGGCTGGGAGTCTCTTTGGCGTACAGACACATTCTCTCCACTTGACAGCAGCAGGTCGGATGGCAGGGCACTGGTGCCATCCTTGTCAGAGCCACCCTACTTCCCCCTTACCACTGTCCTAGACCCTGTGTCTCCTTGTCTTCCCTTTACTGCCAGTTATCTTTTCTCTCCGCCTCTCCCTGTGTCTATGTGCCTTGTGATCTTCTGCACTTCAGCTCTGTTTCTGGGCTTCACATCTTCATGTTTTTTTGTTTGTTTAAGAGACAGGGTCTCACTCTGTCACCCAAGCTAGGGTGCAGTGACATTGATCATAGCTCACTGCAGCCTTGAACTCCTGGGCTCAAACCATTCTCCTGCCTCAGTCTCCTGAAGAGCTGGGACTACAGGTACACACCACCATGCCCACCTAATTAAAAAAATTTTTTTCGTAGGGACAGGGGCTGACTTTGTTGCCCAGGCCGGTCTCAAACTCCTGGCCTCAAGCCTCAGCCTCCCGAAGTGGGATGACAGGCATGAGCCACTGCGCCCAGCCGCACTTCCATGTGTTTG